TTTTTATTGGACTCGCCCATTAGCGACAGGTTATTTTCGCTGTGGGTCATCGCTGTGCCTGTCCGGGAGTAATAGGCGAATGATTTATCCTGTCAGTAAGTCTGCTTTTTTGGTTCACCTCTGAGGTTAATCCACTCCTTTAGTTCCGGAATGGATAGCTGCGTCACGCTGCAGAAAAGTGACCGAGCATGACAGATGGAGCCGTGCAGTTTAGGAAATACTCAAAATTGAATTGAGTTTTTGCATAGAGGTGTCAACCTGTTGCATTATTTCAACATTTTCGAGAACATTTTATTTTTGCGCGGATTGATTTACGATAGCATTTCCTGAGATGAGCTACAGAGAAAAGCGAGATTTCCAAAAAATGAGTTGAAAATCGGCTCGGTTCTACTTTGTGGCATTAAAAGGTTTGAGGTGTAATAAAGTAAAGTATACGGGCTTAAACCTAAACAATTACTTTAGATCGAACGTAACAAAAGTATCGCTTTTCATTAAAAAAATTACCTCTTTGCATTAAAGTCTCTCGAATCGAGTTTTGGGTTACTCGTGTCGTGGCGTGATTTGCGCACTGGATAAAAAACACATTGGATCTAGAGTCCAGACTCTTGAAAATATTGACAGTAAAAAATACTCTTGATTCAATCGGATTTTTGCTTGAATCAAAACGAAATCAGCTTAAATTAAGAGGCTTGGTTCTTGATTTAAGCTAGATTCTGATTGAATCAAGATTACTTTTTCTTGTCGATGTTTTTAAGAGTCTGGACTCTAGATCCAATGTGTTTTTTTTTTCGAGTGCGATGCACATCGATTATCTGCCGATCTAACCTATCGAAAAGGATCGACAGATAGGGTGTTCTCAAGTCGCAACGAACACCTTGATGATCGATTCCTTACCAGAGCTTCAAACGGAGAAATATGGATAGTCGATCATTCACGCCTCGCCGCGCCACTGCGTTACCGTGCGGTATTGTTAAAGAGGCGCGACATGCAATCCAATCCTTTGCATTTTGTTTCTTCAGGGACCTAATTTCGGAGCTCCAGAGGGTCTTTGACGCTCCGTTCATAATCCTACGAAGAGAAAAAAGATAATATCCACGTATAGACGTTACTTTCCGCAAACTCTCTAAAAATAAATTAGTAAGTCAATAACGCCAAGAGAGAACACGGCCGCTAATGGCAAAATCACGAGAACCATCTTTTGATGCGACGTTCATCCTCAGTTGTTGCGCTGATCTATGGCGAGAGGTCACTTTCGCCCTTGGACATTAATGTAACTTCCATTTAAAAAAAAAAAAAAAAAAACATTTGTACCGTGAAAAAAGGCCTCATCAGCTGTCATTGTTTCTGAAAATGTTACCCATAACGACATTTTCGCTTTTCTTGTCGCAAATGCAGCGTAATTGCAAACTTTTCTGCGTACATTTATTATAAGAAAAAAATGATTCAAAACGTATTTGAGACCTCAGTGCAGAAAGAAAAATTTCTCTGGAGACAAGTGTGTCATAAAAGGGATTTGTTCAACTGCGCAAACATCGAATATTTTACGATGAGGGCTGGGTGACTTGAACGAAAGGATAAGAAGTGAGGAAGGAACGAAAGGATATGGAGTAGCAAAGGGATTTAAAAGGTGAGGGTAGGGTAAGGGCTAACCCCTAAAATTGTATAGCACTACCGCAATTTGTTTACCCATTTTTCTTGTTGAAAAATGGGTTTTGTCCAAAAAATTTTGAGAGAAATAAAGCTCACAATGGGAAACCGAAAATCAAACCCTAAAGAGGATATAAAGTGTCAATATACGCGTGTGTGGACAAGAAAGTGATCCTTTTTTTCCCCTAACAACTTTTTTTCTCCCGACATCCCTACAATGGCGCATGCAGTGCTAAGTACAAACGCCTTATGAGCCACCAGGCGTTGCCAAATCACGAATCTTCAGTAAAATTTCTCATCCGATTTTTCACAGGATTTTGTTTGTAATTTAATCTAAACATTTGAACGCTCACACGGCATTTTTACTTGGCTCGGCAGAACAGCGCATGATTGCTGCATAGGAACCAAAGTTCTGTCCTCATAACCGAAGTTTTCTTCTCAATGTTTTATAATGGGAATCCCAACGCGTGCTCACCTCTTTACACCTAAACACCAGCCGAGACAGAAATTCCCCGAGCCGGAAAGCTCACATCCGTCTGGGCGCGCATGACGAAACAAAAGGAACCGGACAGGGTGTCAAAGCTCGAACTTTCCAGTCGTGAAAGTTAGGAGATAATGGGGAGCGCACGCTGTTCGTGGGCATTATTCCCGGCGACAATGGCGTGCACTGATGAGTCAGTAGCTCGCTATGTGTGGGCCCGTTGGGCCCGGAGTGTTATCAGTCCCGCGGAGCTTGCGGATTTCGTAGTTTGATGATCTTGTCGGCCTCGGGTCGGGCGTGAGGTGGGTGGGTTTATGTCCGAATCCACGCGTAAAAGTTTGCAGATGCCTCACGAGATAGGCGACTTCTTGGCAGAGGAGGAAACTAGGGCAAACGGTGAACTCCCGGAAGCAACCGTGCTTAAATCTGGAAGGACTGCACTGAAAAAAAATTCTCGGCGTTTTTACCAAGGTCCGTTGGTACCTTTACCATCTCACTTTTATTTACCAATTATTGGTAATTTTACCAAGACAGACTGGTATGCTTACCTAAAAACCGGTATTTTTACTATTTTTTTCAGGTAAGAATACCATTTTCATTGGTGATCGATTCTTGGTGACTTTGCCATTTTATCTCGGTAATTCTACCGCAGTCGATAAAAAATATTGGCGTTTTTACCAAGGTCCAGTAAAATTACCGAGAAAGTTTAATAGTTTTACCAAGATTTCTCGGTGAAATTACCAATTCCATAAATGGTAATTTTACCAAGAAAAAACTGGGATCAAATAGAACCCTGAATTCTCGGTAATTTTACCCTTTTTTCAGTAAATACACAAAGATTTGTTTTCAGTGTGTTGCAAGTGAAACAAAAGGCCAGACTTATGGTCGCTTCTTTAAAAGTTTCTTTCCCTACACTGAGAAAAAAGTTATGGGCTGTATGAAGATACAGTCCGTTCTGGGCTGTATAAAGATACCGTCCGTTCTGGGCTGTATAGAGATACCGTCCGTTCTGGGCTCTGAGGCTGAAAGTTCCGGGTGCTGGAGCCGGAACTTCGACTGCTCCGGGCGTTACACCCGGGACTTTCGGCCTCTGGGCCCGGAAGGGGACGGTATATGTATTTATATAGCCCGTAAGTACGGCTTTCACGGCCGGAGTTTTTTTGCAGTGTAGGGATGCTACTCAACATAACCTAACAACATTGCTATGGTCGTTCCTTCAGGGAGTCCTGGTTCCTATCCTCACGATGCAATGTAAAATTGAGTGATGCTAAAGTACACTTTTTTTAAGTCAGGCAGGATGAATTTTCAAAAACTGTTTTTGTTTGCTAGCTCAGATTTTTTCTGGCTTTAGAAGAGAGGATTTTTGAAAATTCAAAAAATTGAAATTTTCTCAAGTTTTTAAAATAATAATTTAATAAATTTCAGCGGAAGGACCCACCAGACTGGTTCTTTTTTTTTCGAAGAGTAATCAGAGAAAACCCTCTTGTCTGTGCTCTGTGGTTAGAGAATTTGTTAGGGAACAACTAAAATAAGTTTCTGAAAATTCTGCCCATAGACCCTGAGAGAAGTGTCCCTTATGGTCAAAAAACATTGTTTTGAGAAAAATCTATTTATAAAGCTTTGGATACACATAAGAATGATGAACTATAAATGCTAATGCATGAAATTAATATGAACCATTAACATGAAACTGTATTCAAAAATTCCTTTCGATTTATTTCATTTTCACTTTTTTTTTTTTTTTTTTTTTTTTTTTTTTTTTTTAGCACAAATACATCCAAATGGGTAACCACAAACTAACCAACCAATCTGTAACAAATTTGGGTGCTCCTGCTCATTATCATTGTCATCAAAGTATCTCAAGACTTGAGTAAAAAACTGTTTCTTGGCTTCTATACGTCAAAAATGGATCAATTAGGAGCAAGAACATTGACCGGAATGAACAAGGACGTATAAAAAATGAATTTGAAAACTCACTCCTACTTATTGAAAGCAAATCTCTAGAAACCAACTCGCGAAATCTTGATCCATCCAGCGTACAATGATCTATACGGCCATTAATCATGAACCATGAAAAATATTGAAAGTCATTCTCTACTGATTGAATTCACTCAACCTCCAATTTCATTGAACCACAAAAACACGTCATCGATAGCCAACCCCTTATCCGGACACCAATTTCAAAGATAGAAGTGATCTTTCGTCGTATTCAATAGCAACCAAGTGGGAGTTAATTGCTCTATTTTACACCTTAAAACTATTCATTTTTGTCAGGTCGATGTAACACCAAATTGATGGCAAATCTAGTAGTTCATTTGGACGTTAATAAACAAATACAATGAAGTATGAACTGGAAGTTATGATAAAAAAAAGAGATTCCAGTGTAACAGTTCAAGACAAGGTGCGTATCGATGGCTGAAGTCGAAAAATCCTGACTTTTTTTTTATTATTATTTTTTTTTATTTAGAGAAGACAGAATTGATATGAACACTTTATGAAGATAATGCGGATTGCTTTTCCACCTTCAATTTTCAGAATAAAACACAACACATTCCTTTTGCGGCAATAATTACTCATTCAAAGATTTATCGCATTCTTTAAAAATACTTCACCAAAAATTAGGTTAAACTAGGCTATTTTTATGTTAGCTTCGTTTCTCTCCCTATGCATCTAATTGATATTGAATAAACATAAATATAATGCAAATAAGAAATCACTTCACCATTTCTTTGGATAGGCATTGCTTAATAGAGGCAGAAAACGGCACTGCAATTTATGATAGCAATTTTCTCTATTTGTCCGTAATAATATACTGATACTAGTATCTAATACTGAGGGAAGAACAAAAAACATAAAATTATACCGTGCTTACCTCCCATAAGTGTCGACTGCCAAACTGGTGTAGCTCTAGCGATATCATGATTCAGCAAACATATGCATAGGAAGATCCACCAGGCTGAGGTCATAACTTCCAGAACACGGTCCGTTGTCAGGAAACATTTCCCATAGCTGAATCTCCTCATCTGTGGATCAGAAAAAGAGAGAGAAGGAGAGAGATGGCAAAAACAAAACGCAGGCTTGCACAGAAGATTAACATTCCAGACGGGTTCATCCGTTGCAAGAAGTCGTTTGTTATTGTAAATTAATGCAAATACGAATACTTTTTGAATGTGTAAAATCTCGGTGGACGTCCATCTTGAAGCTTCTCCAATATTTTGCTTGGATTCAGTGAGAAATTGTGTGTTTTGGTATCATCGGGAAATGTTGTGACTCCGTGGAGAAAAGAATAATACATGCAACCATATTCTTATCTGATTATTTCGCTTATGAAAAAGACGAATAGAACGAAAAGGTGTTTGGTAAAATAATTGGACTTAATTTTTCAACGAGGAATTTTTATTTCTGGTTCTTTTGAGGAACCAGCATTTCGACGGTAAATCTGGCAAACCACTTTTAAAATCTCCTCTCCTGCATTTTATTTTTATAAGGAGAATAAATTAACATTATTCCTTGAAACCCTCAAGATTTTTCCCGCACTGAGAAGAAAAATTATGAAAGTTTTTAAGCATTGATGTTGAGTCGTTTTCCAGTTTAAAGAAAGTATGACAGGAAGTCTGCAACGTCGCAAACTGAGATATTTAGTTCAGGAGTTTTACAGTCGATTTGCTTTAGTGAAGGTTATAGGGGGATCCATTCTATGGGTTTAAATAGCAGATCAATAGATTTATCGCAAATTATGCCACGCTACTGGAATCTCAGTAACAAATCCTCGGAGACTTGAACGCAGGGTTAGGAAAAAAGTCGATCATCACTCTATCATTCTTTTTCGATTTAAGTATACTGATTTGGTGAAGTACAATCATTGAGGCACATCTTGCAATAAAGGAACAAAGATTTCCAACTCATTTTAAAAACGACGTAGGTTCCTCTTTGCAGATACGTACGTGTTACGGATGAGCTAGAAAAAGTAATTCCTAATTGCAAAAAGTAGTCCATTTGAGCTGATGTAAAAAGAAATGAGGAAATAAACTGTGCATTTTTCGGGACCAAGTTGGACTGAATTATTAGTTAGTTGCGAATTAGTCACCAAGTATTCGCAAGGTTGAACGTTGCCTCTGCAAGGAATGGATCAATTAGTCTAACGGTAAAATAGGCGTTTAATCCCAGAGCTTAGTGTGGACAATGTGTTTTGAGAATTTTTGTCATTTGAATAGAATCATTGACCTCCAAAAAATCCTGAGAGATAATGTCCCACTGCCGCGCGCCAGGCAGGTGACTGTACGAAACAGCGAAAGATTCTCCGAGCCATTGTTTCGAGGCACCCAATGACCTATTCACAAGAAGAAGCTCCAATTAACAATCGCGATATTTTTAGTTCACGTCTCGCTAGAGCGCCCCTCTGATTGAATAATAATATTATTATCTTGCCAATCCTGCTTCCTACTTTTTTTCGGAGCACTCGCATTTTATTATTTAGGTTGATTTGCAGCTGAGACATTTTTTGTTTCCATTGTCGCCAGATTTTCTGGGAAAAACGTATCACGAATACATAAAAGATCGCGGGATTGTGGAATGATGATTCCTCGTTGTGAGAACGCTAGGGGCAAAATTGCATACTATGATATACTCATACTATCAAATACTATGGGTTGGATGGAACGACTCCTCTTACGAAATTTTCACCTATGCCATAATACACTGAAAAAAAGCACATTGGATCTAGAGTCCAGACCCTTGAAAACATCGACAAGAAAAAGTACTCTTGATTTAATTAGAATCTAGCTTAAATGAAGAACCAAGCCTCTTAATTTAAGTGGATTTCGTTTTGATTCAAGCAAAAATCCGATTGAATCAAGAGTATTTTTTTTCATGTCAATTTTTTCAAGAGTCTGGACTCTAGATGTGTTTTTTCCAGTGTATCGCTTATGAAGCGGAAAGCTTAAAAAACGCATATTTTTTAGTGATTGTGATTGTGAAGTTAGGAGTGTATTTCAGACATTTCTGATGCTTTCATAGTGATTTTTGAGCCATTCCCGATTAGAAATATCTGTCTTCTTTCTTTAGCTTAAGTTTGCAACCGGCCCATTAGAGCCTCATCACCCCTCAGTCCATACTTAAAAACCAGAGGGCTGATTGTTGGAATTGGTAGACAAAGCGATAGACAAAGAAGACAAGCAGGGTATGAAGGCATCCTATTGGTGGAAGCGGGTGGTTTCAATGGACAAAAGAGGGAGGTACACTGAGAAAAAACTATGGCTTATAAACCTATTAGAGGTAAATATGGAACACCACTAATAGTAGTACCTCTACATATAATAATAGCACATATACCTTAGTTATGGTACGGGGTACCTTAATTAGGTACAGAGACCTTAGTATGGTTCACAGACCGAGAATCATTAGTTTATTTACGACTATTATAGGTGTTCCATATTTACCTCTAATAGGTTTATAAACCATAGTTTTTTCTCAGTGTAGTACACTGACTAACGGCAAACCACGAGGGACCCTTTAGTTAGTCCATGCATTTACGCCCTTGGTTTTAACAACCTTACATTTCAACCAATAGAATCGCTCCATACTCTGTATGTATTCTTTGTCCATCGTTTTTTAAATCGATTTCAATAATCAGCCCGTAGCCCCGAACAAATAATCACAGGAATCTAACACAGGGCCTTTTAATGATAGAGTCAGCGCTTCTAGACCACAGAAACGCTTCGATGTAGACATTAGACCCCGCGAATTTTCTTCCAATTGGCAGCGTTGTACTTGACAGCGCCATCAAAGAGCCCCGAAATTAAAAAGTCTCCCCTCTCATTCCCCGAGCTATTGACAATGCTACATGACAGCGCTTATTTCCGGTAGAAGTAGAGCGATTTGCTGGGAAATTAGCCACAATTTTTTCCTCGCTGTCTCGTATTCTCACGGCGGCGTGGAAATCACCTGCCATCTCTTCCGAGTCCTTGTTTCTTTGCTCAATCGGCTGTTCAGCCTGAGACAGTTGCAAAAGCATCAGATTAGCGTCTTAAATCCACCCGATAGATTTTCAATTTCCGGTAAAGTCAAAATACACGGAAATAATTAATTGCTGATTTAACAATTTTGTAGTTAAAATAAGTGACTGTAATGTTCCAATGTAGATTCTACAATTAAAAAAATGATATTTGAACCTTGAGGGTGGTTAAATCGTCGCCCCTCTGACGTAAGGGCGTATCCCATTTCTTACGTGAGCCCTGTTTTAAATATAGGGCCATGCTTTCTGAGGCTCATGCGGAAATCGAGATACGCCCTTACGTCAGAGGAGCGACGAAATTAGCTGTCCACTATTGTAAAATGTACGTTTACATTGTGTTTGTATGTTTTTCAACTAAAAAATTGTTAAATCAGCAATCCAATTTTTTCCGTGTATTTCATTCTCTGGTACGTGAAATTTCGCGGGAAACACGATAGTGCCAATAGTTTATTACGGAATCAACTCCAAAGCTCTCATAAACTCTCAAAGTCCAGGTCGAAATGGGTCAGTTGCGCTAGTTACAAAATCGTGTTTCGATGCTCGATTCTTGTATCTAAGCTAAAAATATTAAGATCTGTCCAAACAACAACTTTCTACGTTCAATATTAACCGAAATATCGCCCATTCAAAAACTCGGTTTTTGACGTCATCCACCTCGCGGTTGGGACAGCCTTAGTTTCTTCCAACTTGGATTCATCAATCACAAATATACATAAATGCACTTGTTGCTCGACTTAAGACACGGATAAAACCAACATGGAAGAAACGGAGGTATCATTTCCGCTGTGGATGACATCATTAACCGAATTTTTCAAAGCGCAATATCCCGGTTAATATTGAACGTAAAGAGTTGCTATTTAGACGGATCTTTTAATTTATAGCTAATTTACAAGAATCAGGCATCGAAACACGATTCTGTGACCAGCGCAACTAGCCAATTGAGGGGATGGGGTTACACCTGACCACACACTGAAAACAAAAACTCTGGCCGTAGAAGCCACTAGCCGTACTTACGGGCTATATGTATAGACATACCATTCGCATTCCGGGTTCAGAGGCCGAAAGTTCTGGGTGTAGCACCCGGAGCAGTCGGAGGTACGGCTCCAGCACCCGGAACTTTCGGCTTGTGAGCCCGGAACGGACGGTATGTCTATATAGCTCGTAATTTTTTTATCAATGCAGTCCAAGACGACTCAAACGTCGGTACTCATCAATAAGAAACTAACTTACTTCCTTATTTGAGAAACGCCTTATCCACCATCAATGTACCTATGTGTGGAGGGGGTTTTATAAACGTGCTCATTCACGCGCTTTCTTTTGGACGAAGACAGATCATATTCGATTGCTACCGAGAAATCCCTGGCCTCGAGGCCGAAACGAAATCAAACCTCCCAAATTTAATTTGTCCGGTCAATCAGCGCCTCTTTGATTTGATCGAAGACAACTTTGTGAGTCGAGGGGCAGAGAAAGGCGCTGAATGGGACCACGGAAGAATGCCGTAAGGGCATTCGAATGTTGTCAATTTTCCCCCGATAAATTATATATGTTTGAGAAATTTTATGACTATCCTTCCATTAAATTAATAAGTTTGGCTGTCCTTGAGGAGAGGAACCCTATTTCTAAGGAGTTAAAATTTGCTGAGGAGTAATTTCTCTTGAGCAGAGGCGGATCCAGAAATTTCGCAACACCGGATTGCCTCCATTAAAATCTATGCTAAATGATCGATTTTTGTCGGAACACCTGGTCCCTCCAAGAATCGATACATTTCCATAGAAATTATGACAATGACAATGTTGCCAATATGCTGGATTCGCCAATGCTCTTGAGTTGGGCTAAAAAACTAGATTTTGAGTTTTTGGCGGAAAACTGGACAATTTTTTGCATTTTGGAACTACATTTCTGGTTCCTTTATACTTTCCTGAGCAGGGAAACTATTTTCACATACTTTGTTTTTAAGATAAGCCAGGCAAAGTCGCTTTTGAATGCATAATTTAGTCTGACTCTACTTGC